GAAGTGGCGCTGTGGCTCAAGTGGTAGAGCACTAGCCTTGAGCTGAAGAGCTGAGGGACAGTGCCCAAGTCCAGAGTTCAGGCCCCACGACCGGACCCAAAAAAAAAAAAAAAGAAGAGTCTCATGGACTTTTCTGCCCCGGCTGGCTTTGAACTGTGATCCTCAGATCTCAACCTCCTTAGTAGTTAGGATTACAGGTGTGAGCCACTGGCACCCAGCTTTAATATATCCTGCTCATTTTCCACCTTACTCTTTCTTCTGAAAGCTTCCTCAAAGCAGGTTTCCTCATCTAGTCTTCCCCCAAGACTTGGAGAATCTGTTGCCTTCCTCTGAAGCTCTTCAGAAGCCAAGGCTATTCTTGTAGCCCAGGTGGCCTTGAGGAACATTCAATAAGGAAGGCCATGTCAGTGGGGCTGCGGTTGCTGAAGTTCTCAGGAGGAAGCTGGTAGGATTAGGACAGGTTTTCTTTAGTGAAAAGGAAGAGCAAAGATTTTTATTTATTCATTTATTTTTGTACTGGTTCTGGGGCTCCAACTTAGGATCTGGGCACCGTCCCTGAGCTTTTTGCTCAAGGTTAGCACTATACTACTTGAACTATAGCTCCATTTCTGGCTTTTTGGAGAGGTTAGTTGGAGATAAAGAGTCTCAATGATTTCCCTGCCAGGGCTGGATTTGAACTATGATCTTCAGCTCTCAGCTTCCTGAGTAGCTACAATTCCAGGTGGGAGACACTGGTGCTGGGTAAGAGCAAATTTCTAATCTGAACAGCCACCTGCATGAAGATGGAGGCACAGACAGAAGTTAAGACATACCCATGGTCTGGGGGAAATGTCCACTAGTGGCCAGGTATGTGGATGGTAGAAGTTCCGGACAGGACTGGATTTGGACAGGATGAATGTTTAGATGAATAGTAACTGAAGTCATAAGAGTGGATGACATCAGCCAGAAATGGAAGAAAAATGCAAACAAGACCTATGGATAGAAAAGCCTCAGAGGTAAAGTGAGAGCTGGGAAAGGTGAAGAAGGCAGCAAATAGGACAGCTCTACCAGCCAGTCACAGAAGAGGACAGAACACATTGGTTTACCATGCAGGGTTCCCCACCCCCTCCCCATAAATAAAATACTGATTAACTGCTAGGATTTACAATTAAGTACACGTATCATAAATCTGGATTTCTGGCTTCTCTCAAAACCATCAGAAGATCGAGCCACACGTCACTTTTTTTTTTTCCAGTCCTGGGGCTTGAACTCAGGGCCTGGGCACTGTCCCTGAGCTGCTTTTGCTCAAGGCTAGGGCTCTACCATTTGAGTCACAGTGCTACTTCTGGTTTTTTGTTTATGTGGTACTGAGGAATTGAACCCAGGGGCTTCATGCATGCTAGGCAAGCACTCTGCCACTAAGCCACATTCCCCATCTGTCACATATACTTTTTCATGCAGTAACCAGCAGGAGCTAAATAAAAGCCACTCCCTTTGAGTCAGGGCACAGACATTTTGCCTTCTTGCCTGGCTCCTAGTGTAAGAGGGAGCTACTTTCCTTGGTGATGAAAAAGTCTATCTGTGCTGGTCTGGAGCTCATTGAAACCTTGGCCACAATCTAGTCTATAAAGCTCCATAAGGCTGGGCACTGGTGGCTCACACCTGTAATCCTAGCTACCCAGGAAGCTGAGATCTGAAGATCACAGTTCAAAGCCAGCCCAGGCAGAAAAGTCTGTGGGACTCTTACTTCCAATAAACTACTTAGAAAACATCAAAAGTGGTACTGTGGCTCAAGTGGTGAGAGTGCAAACCTTGAGCCTTGAATACAAAGAGGCTCAGGGACAATACCCAAGCCCTTAGTTCAAGCCCCAGGACCAGAAAAGAAAAAAAAAAAAAAAGCACTTCATATTATAGCCACATTTGGAGCTGAAGGCAGGAATACCATGACTGTGTCTGAAGTAAGGATCCTATGTCAGACCACCGTGCTAACTCCTTGCCAGTAAGAGACAGCAAGTCCATGGGACCAGCCCGACTCATCTACAGTCCCCAGGGGTCGGGGGGAACCTGTTCAGCAGAGCTCTGAGGGAACTTGCTCTTTTGGAAAAGCAGCTGCACAAGCTGCCAGCTCCCTGGAGGTTGACTAGCTGCTGGAGTCAGCCACGTCCCCCGGTTGGGAATTCCTGGCTCTCCTTCTAGATTCCCCTGCCATACTCTCTGAGAAGGTCTACCAGATGGCAGGCAGCTTCTGCATCCCTAGATCTAAACCAGGCCCATACCTACCTGGAAAGAGGACCTGCTGATTTCTTAACAATGCCACCTTCTGTGACAAGCTCATGAACACTGGTTAAGTGAAATATGTGGCAGTGCCTTTTTTTTCCCCATAAAGAATTAAACCTCCCTCCACTATTATACAATTACATATTGTCAAAGAGTCATTATCTAATTATCAGTTATTTCACATTGATTCTGCTCCAACATGTGCTTTCACTACCACTGTATTTTGTGGTTTCATTAACTACTTAATTATCTGCCCAACTGCCAAATACAATATTCTATGAAGATTTGGTGGCATAAATTAAAGAACTCATTATAAGTAATTTCACTAAGTCTCACTATTGATCAGAGGCTGGAAAAATATGACTGTAAAAGTGCTAACCTGCAAAGTTGGGCACTGTGCCTTTTCTCTCTTTCCTGGGTCATATAACTGCCATCTCCTTCCACAGAGGTAGGTCAAATGCGACTGGAAGCATGTCTACCTTATGAGCATCACTTTGGCATGACATTTTTGAGATTTGGCATAAGATCAGTCTTGGCTTCTCAGACCGAGTTCAGGTCCTGTTTCCACGGCTTCTCTCTGGATAACCTTAGGGCAATTCACCTAAGCTTTCTAAGCTACCAGTTCCTTCAGCTGTCCCACAAGGGCACCATACCACAAGGGCCTCACAGAGACACCAAACAGACAACCCAGTATTAGTTCCCTGCTTTCTTTCCCAGACAGTGAGGGTCTGGATCAGAGGTACTGCTCTACCTCTACACCCAGAGTCTCAACATCCAGTCTTTTTATTTGAGTCTGCCAACTTGAAATTGCAAACTCCAGGCAGAATAAGGAGACAAGTGGCAGAGGCAGCTGCTTCTGCACTCCAGCTGTTTTAGTCCTGCTCTCACTGCTTTACCCAAGGAAATCAGGGCTTAGATAGATTGGCATGATCTATAGAAGTGGTACTCTTGTGTTTTGTTCTGTTAAGGCACTGGGAAATGTGCATGCGCGTGCACACACAACACACACACACACGCAGGTATTATGGCTTGAACTCAAGGCCTCATGCTTTTGTGCTTGGCTTTTTAACTCCAGACTGGTGCTCTACCACTTGAGCCATGCCTCTATTTCTAGAAATGTACTTTGGAATTATATGTATCTGCTCAAAGTCCTTTCTGTTTCGTCTTCATTTCTCACGCAGAGCACCTATGGTTCTTTTCCTCTCTAAGAAGAGCCCACAGGCCCCCATGTTCCTGCCTGGAAAGACAGGCAGACAGGCTGCACGGCAAAGGACATTTGGAAGCGCATACAAGGTCTTCACTCAGTCACAACATAGCTTCCCAGAGGAAAAGCACAGCCTCCAAAAGGCAGCATTAGCTGTCCCAACTAGCAATTAAAAAAATAAACTGCTGTTTTAGTCATTTGGGTGAGTCACAGCAAAGAATCTCAATATCTTTCCAGAGCGAAGCAGGAGCTCTGGCGTGTGTGTGCGTGTGTGTGGCTGACGGGCACCCCATGCTGCCTGCTCCAGTGCTGTGCTGGCACTCACACAGGGTATGGATTTGGGATAATTAGGAAGCATAAAACCACTTATGCCCAGCTCTGGGAGGCAAAAGCAGATCCATTGTATTGGTTATTCGGATAAGGTTTTACTGTGGCCACTGCCCATTCAGCAATCCAACCTCCCTAAAAGAATGTGGTCACATCCTTTACCTCATGGCACTCCCCTGGATGGCACCTTTGACACATCCCTTCTTCCAGAGAGCTCTGATTCAAGGTTCTCAAACTGGATTTTCTCTTCCTAACAGGTGGATCTGGCGGGGGGGTGGGGGCACCACAAACCCTGAGACTTTCATAAAATACAGGGTGCCACTGGCTCATGCTTAGCTATTCAGAGGCTGAGATCTGATGATCGCAGTTCAATGCCAGCCTGGACAGGAAAGGCTGTGATAATTTTACCCCCAGGTAACCACCAAAAAGACAAAAATGGAGCTGTTGCCAAAATGGTAGAGAAATCACATTGAGAAAAAAAGTTCAGGGGCAGCACACAGGCCCTGAGTTCAAGCCCTAGAAATAGTGAAAATACAAAACCAAGTACATGAAATTTGTCCTTGGTACCTATACCCCAGGGTAATATTCATATTCTACTCTTACTCATGCACCGTAACAAATAAGCCCCAGCTAACAGCACCTATATAATATATGCAGCACAGAACTCACTGACTTTTTATATAAACACAGACCCAGGGCTTAGGTTCAATGTCTAGCACTACCGAAAACCCTCTGCCTCCCCTACTCTATTTACAGGTATACCCATCTGCCAACTAGAAAAAGCAAGAACCAACAAAAGGACCCTGAAAACTCTTACTTCAAAGCTGTCTGTATTACCTGTCCTGGAATAGAAAGCTTTAGAAGTTATTGCTTTAAGGTCAGTAAATGTCCTCCCCTAGAACAACCCCATTAACTAGATACCAAGAAAAACTTGCTCTAAAACACTGGCCCAACCTGAGTATATTCTAAAGAAGAACCACAGATGGAAAAAAAAAAAAGAAAGAAAAATACTAAACAGAGACTATTTTTTTTTAAAGTTTAACAGGGATTATGTCAGATAAAAAGACCATAGATAGAGGTTTTTTTTCTTTTATTTTTCAAAAATTTTAATGTAAAATTGTATTTGTTTACATAAAAATACTTATCTGGGTAGCAACTAGGTATTTCAAGAAAATTCCATGGACACAATTTTATCCATTTCCACAGTGAAGTTAAGGCGTTTGATAAGAGGACTGAGGGTGCCCCTATGTGGTGGCAGAAGGAAGTGCTGCTGGCCAAATAAGAGGCGCCAACAACCAGTCAAGTATTCATTAATTCCCTTTCTTAAAAGACCTCAGACATTCCACAGGCTTTTTCATTTCTTCTACACCTTGCATCTTTAATATTTTTGTCAGAGGCTTGAAGCTGGTGTACTCACGTGATAAGCTTTGATTTCCATCAAGAAAAGAGAGGTTTTATGTTTGCAAAAAACATATACTAAAGCAATCAATATGAACCCTTAAGATTAGCTCAAACTCCTTCACAAAACAACCAGACATGCCAGGACAGGCGGCAAAGCTCTACAGTGGGAACAGTGGGCAAGGATGTGGGGCGAAGGAACCAAACTGATAAAACCAAAGCAGATCCCAAAGAACAAAAGCAGCTTTAGTTCCCTGGTAAACAAGCTCAGCCTCTGTTCCCATTTTAGCTATCAAGACATCAGAAGCCAATGCCAGGGACTAGAATAGAATTTAAGATAATTCCACCAAGATTTAATTTCATACCAATCTACCAAGACCAACATGAAGCTGACCTCGGACACTTAGGGAGACTGTTATCCAACACTGAACATGTGAGTTGGTAACCTATTTGTTTAAATGGTTTCTTCCCCTGCATTGAAGGAATATGCCTTCACAAACATCTCATGACTAGAAAGCCATGCAGAATGCAAACAATCTCTTTAATGTTCTCAGTGTCTCTCATCAGACAGTTTGAGAAATAAACTTTTCTCCTCAGAGAAAGGAAATGACATCCAAAGGTGAAGAAGGCATTCATAGCTCTAGTTTTCCAGACTCTGGACATCATCCTTGTCACATTTCTTTTTTAATTCTAGGATCATTACCTCAACTCCTGCACAAACTTCCACAACATGCCTCCAGCCTGGATCATACAAAGACCTAGACACAATTTCTTGAGTTTCTAGCCACATACACTGTTCTCTGAAAATCCCTACAGATAGGCAAGAAGCCTGATTCTCTGCCTGAGGACCTTCTCATCGGGCAAGCAGTGTAAATACAATACTACTGTTGTAACATACAAAAAAGCACTTACTAAAGGAAGATGTACAATATGAAACCAAATAGATAGTGGAAGTATGGTCAGCTGGCACCACCTGTCTTCTCCAGATCACTGACCCACAGTGGTTGTGATAGAGAAGGCCAGATCAGGAGCGATTTCCCCCAGGGCTGGCATTGGACCCAGGGCTGTATGCATGCTAGTCAAGCCATCTATCACTGACCCACATCTCCAGTGCATTTATGCTAAATCTTTGAAAATCTTTGAGCTTATGATACTCTTCAATAACAATAAGCAAAACAATAAACACTTATTGACTACTTACTGATGGTTGCCATATAACTCAAGGATCCTAAAATGTCATTCAAAAAAAAGCTAGGTCTGGGCCCCATATACAACCCAAACATGAAAAGGGAATAAGTGTGGCAGAACCAAACATTACTAGAGGCAGGGAATCTAAGGCCCTGGGAGGAACCCAAGGCTCTGGGCTGAATATTGACTCTGTGGACCCCTGATGGGTTTCTGCATCCTGTTGAATGGCTGGAATTGAATAATGGTTATTTGAAATGGATTATTGATCCCACTCCCTTGTCATGGGTCTAACTTCTCCCACTCCTCCCTAGAGGAGGTTGTGAACAGACATATGTTCAAGGGGCTTTCAGAAATAATTGCAGGAGGAAGCCAGGTGTGGGGGCTCACACCTGTAAGAGAATCATGCAGTGCTGGCAACTGAGCCCAGGACTTCACATGCACACGGTGAGTATTCAACCACGGAGCTTCAGACTTTGTTCTCTTTCTCATTTCTATCATCAACCATTTACCCACTCAAAGGCAAGAAAATATTTTCCCTAACCCCAAGACCCAAACAGGATTGACAGTTTTCTATTATGAATGTTCATATATTAAAAACAAAACAAGCTCCACTTCACAGGTTGAAACAAAAATCACAAAGCAATACAACTGCCACATCTGGTACTTTCACCAGGGTGGAGATGGGGAAAGGAGCACTGGTAAGTCTCAGTCATGTATCGGAATGTTGCTTACCTAATTCTGCTTCTGAAATGGGCAACATCCAAGCAGCATCAAGCCAGGAGTGCACCGTTTCTTAGGCATTCCCAGATGGGTCCTTCTGCCTGGCCTAACTAATGCCTCTCTCCCTGACTCTCCTGCAACCTACTATGGGACCAACTCCTCTCTGGGGGTCTGGACAGTACTAGCCAATCATATTAACCCAGCTTCAGTCTTGAAGGCCTTCTGGGCCTCAGTCCCACTGGACTGCCTCCAGTCTAGGATGAGTATTCCAACTCTCCTTGCATTCTCGGTAATGTTGACCACTGGCCAGACTAGATGACATAAACAGTCCTTCTGGCCTCAAAAAGAACTAGTCCAAAGCTGAGGTGACCAGCCTGACTGAGCTTGACATCCCTTCTGAGTTTACTGACAGCCTTTTGCTGTTGACAATCACAGTTCTTCCCAAAAGTTATAAAAGCTATGACTTAAGAAGTTGGGAGGGGGTTAAAATGGATGGACTGGTTTCTGCTTTTTAAGATGCTATCATAGTGCTACCCAACAGGTTCCTCCAAAGTAGGCTGTTTCATAAATCTTTCCTCTCTCTCTCTCTCTCTGTGCTGAAGATTGAACTTAGGGCCTCCTGCATCCTAAGAATACACTCTGCCACTCAGTTACACTCCCAGTCGCATAGACACCTCTAACTGTGCAAGAATTTTAGAGTTAACTGGCAACAAGCCTGAAAATTTGGTTACGAATATAGGTACAGAGCTGGTTCATCAAATCTCTGTTCTGGCCCGCAACCCAATGCATTTCAACTAATGTGTCATCTACTTCCTTCTTAACTTTGATCAAACACTTGAACAGGTACGGTCCAGCTGTTCCTTGGAGGTGCTTTGCCTTCTCAACCACGGTGCTTCCCAACTGCTCAGAAGCCTCTTGGTCCTGGGCCCCATTGCTGGAGCCCATGCAGCTTTCCACAGCGGCCATCCCTCCCCTTTCCTCACTCCTTTCATCCTCCATGGCTTCTGGGATTTCCTCTTGGGACAGTGACTCCTGACTTGGGCAGTGGCCATCCACAGTGGCAGATTCGCCTTCAGGCAGAGCAGACCCACAAAGGGCACTCTCCCGGGGGGCCTGGGCCATATCCTGGCTGCTGCCTGACCCTTTAGGGGTGGACTTTTTCTCTTCCAAGGCTTGAATGACGTCCTCAGGGGCTCGAGGAACCTCCCTCAGCTGTCTCACTCGCTCTCTTTTCCTTCTCCTTAAATGAATCCATGAGTTTTCTATGGCTGTCAGGAAAAGGCTCACTTCCTCATTTCCACAGGGAACTCGTTTGTGCTGGACCTAAGTAGAAACAAACAGGATTTTATAGGAAAGCACCTGTCCCTTCTTGTCAAACTCCTTTTAAAAGGAGAGGTTAGGAGCACATCATCATGTGCCTGCACATACCTTCAGGTCAGTGAGAATCTTCTCTATCCAGGTAGTCACAACCACGATGCCCTCCACTGTTTCAGAGCCCAAAGAGGATGCTTTTAGGGCTAATTCTTTCATCATAGACTCCAACACTACAAACGTAATGGGTTTCCTTGGTTTTTCTAACTTTCTTCGTTTACTTGGTGGTGACTGAAAGGAAAAAAGAAGGAACAGAGTAAATATTGAAATCCCATGCACTGTAACTGACTCAAGGAGGGAGGAAAGCTCTACAACTTCAGCTCCCAATCATGAAGCCTTTGTACATGCTATTTTCAGGACTCAGAACAGCTCTGCAAGATTTTGCCATCTTCCCACTTTATAAAAGGAAATACTGACACAGACAGACTGCACCATCATAGCTCAGGTGACACAACTAGTAATGGCCCAGGTGGGCATCAACCCCAAACCCAATTTCTTTCCAACCACACCACCTGGCTAGCAGCACCAACCTCTTCTAAAGGCTAAATAGACTTCTATGTCTGCTGTGCTGAAGCAGGCCTGTCCTTCAACTCAAGCACCTGGATTGCTATGTCCTTTTCCATTTAAAAACAATATAAAACAAACAAACCTGCACAGTGTAAAATCCCCAACTTGCTGGGGCTTGACCTACAGCAGCTTGTGTGATTACATGCTAAGAATGAATAGGGATACTAATACAACATGGGTGGAAAAGCAGGGCTGCAGTCTCCACCTCCCCGGCTGGGTCAGGCCAAGCTCTGGGCTGGCTGACACCATCTCTCAACTGGGCTCTGGGACACCAGCACTGAGCACTGCGTGGGAAAGCTTGGGCCAGGAAACTCCACCACCCTTCTATCTCAGGGCTGGAAGGTAAATCACATCCTACCCACTAGAGGGACTCAAGTTCCATTTTAAAACCAAATGATCCTTTTGTAGTACAAGTTTACTTTTTCAGAGCTACAGCTGTGGCTCAAGTTGTAGAATGGGTGCTTATTAGCAAGTGTAAGGCTCTGAGTTCAAATCTTAGCATCACCAAATAGACAGGAAGATAGGAAGATAGGTAGACAGACAGACAGACAGACAGACAGACAGACAGAGGCTGGGAACATGACTTAGTGGTAAAATGTTGTTTAGCATGCATGAAGCTCCTGGGTTTGATTCCTTAGTATCACATAAACAGAAAAAGCTGGAAGTGGCACTGTGGCTCAAGTGGTAGAGTGCTAAGCTAGCCTTGAACAAAAGCAGCTCAGGGACAGTGCCCAGGCCCTGAGTTCAA